GTTTGTTATTTGATTTATAGATTTGTTTAAAATGTTCTTGATTTACATATTTTTATGCAATCAAATTTATTGACTTTTTATTTTTGAAGACACTTCTTTTTTTTGTCAGTAGACTAGGCTCAAATATATGGTCTACATTTTGTAGTTATTATGTTGCAATCTTGACAGAATGGTTTTATTAGTCCTGGGATTTGATATACAAGCCTTATAGAACTGTCTTGATTCATTATAGGATATAGGGATATTTCCTGTATATGGCTTTTAAGTAAGTAACTTTTAAAATTTAATGCTTGGTTAATGGGCAATTAGAGTAATTTATTTCTTCCTAATTAGAGTTCATCAAAATAACTTTTCAGATTTTCAGTAATGAATGTTTCTTTGGAATTCTTATCCAAACATGTGAAATGGTTATATGATAACACTTTAAGTCAGTAAGTCATTCAGCAATTTTATTGAAAATATCTTTTAATACCTTATTCAGTCTGCACAGAGTTTAGGTAAGCATCAGAGGGAAAAGTTGCTGAACTGATGCTATTAAATGTCAAACATCTGCTGCACTAGGTGATGGATTTTAGGATTCACTCTTTGACAGGTTGACTCAGGAGTTAACTTGTCATGACTCGTTCTACCCCTCAGTAGTTTACAAGAAGACAGTTAAACTTGTCATCACAGGATTTCTTCTGACTAGAAAGAAAATTTGAAGTTTAAAATGTTCACAGTTACTGGCAGATTTTTCTGGTATTGTAGGAGAACCATTGCATTTTTGGATTACTTTTGTCTGCTTGCTGAAATGCTCACCCACTCTGGATGTTTATAAGCAAACAGTATTAAAAGTTTTGTATTATATTTAGAGCTTAATTGTGTGATAAAAGAAAATCTATGGAAAAAAGTATCATAAGAAATTAAGTTTTTCTTTTTACCTAAGCTCCTAAATTTAGCAAGACCTAATTTTAAGTCTACATAATGTAGGGGCTTGGTGTTTTTCAGGGAAATTACCTTAGTTCTACCGATTTGTTTAGACAAAGATACTCAGCAACAGAATGATTTTGAGCTAAAGATGATGTAAGAGAAACATAAAAGCTAAAGGATGTCAGGAGTATTACAGCAAGTGCCAAAATTCTAGAGAAAGAAAATTAAAAAACCTAGAGGTCAGGACCACTGTGGTGGTGTGGAAAATAAAAACAATAGATAAATATGTCAAAAAGCTAGAAATGAGAATTACAGGCACAAGTGTCAGTAAAAAAGTAGTAGCTCTAGCAAGTTTGAAGATATTAGAAATGAGTATAATAAGGTGCTTATGCTCTTGTCTTCCTACAGAAGCTTTTCAAGAACAGAAAACAGAAAAGAAAGAAGGACTTTTCTTTCTTTTTTTTAATAGTACAGTGAATTATCAGGACTAGAATAGATTACAAAAAAAGAAAAAAGGCCCTAGAGCCCATGTAACTCATTCCTTTCTCTTTGGATTGAATCCAAAGTAGCCCTCTCATAGTCTGAAAACAAGATTAAATGATTTCACTGTGGTGTAAATATGCTTGAAATACATCAGCAATTACTTTGTTTCAAATCAAAATTTATATGTTGATGTAGTTGTGTGCAGTGAGTCAGTTCTGACCCATAGTGACCCTATAGGACAGAGTAGAACTGCACCATAGGGTTTCCTACACTGTAATCTTTGTGGGAGAAGATCACCAGGTCTTTTCTCCTGCAGAGTTGCTGGGTGGGTTCAAACTGCCAACCGTTTGGTTAGTAGCTGAACGCTTAACTTCTGTGCCATCAAGGCTCCTTATCTACTGATAGGGCTTTAAAACTAAATGCCAGGCACTACGCTAGTAACTTAAAACAAACAAACAAAAACCTAAACTTGTTGCTGTCAAATTGATTTTGACTCATGGTGACTCCATGTGATACAGAGTAGAACTGCTATATAGGGTTTTCTTGGTGGTAATCTTTATGGAAAAAGTTCGCCAGGCCTTTCTTCTGTGGAGCCGCTGGGTGGGTTTGAACTACCAACTTTTAGGTTAGCAGCTGATCATAAAGCACTTGTGCCACCAAGGATCCTATGCTAATAACTAACAGAATAACCAAACCTGATGCCACTGAGTCAATTTTGACCCTACAGAGATACTGAAATACTTTTCCTACTTGCTTACACAAAGTTTATGTCCTAGTGGCTAAAACATTCCTAAAGATAATTAAAATAGATGGTATAATGGAGGGTAGGGTGGCTGTTGGAAGATTTAGAAGGGACACCTATTACCTACTAAGCGCAGGAAGGAGATTAGGGATGAAATGTCAGGGAGGATCACCTGGAGTACACCTTTGGGGGAGTTATTGGAGTAGCCAATCAAAGAATAGGAAATATTTACCAAATTACTGGGCTGAGGGCTGTGGGGACCATGGTCTCAGGGAACATCAAGCTCAATTGGCATAACATAGTTTATAAAGAAAATGTTCTACATTCTACTTTGGTGAGTAGCGTCTGGGGTCTTAAAAGCTTATGAGTGGCCATCTAAGATACTTCATTGGTCTCACCCCGTCTGGAGCAAGGGAGAATGAAGAAAACCAAAGACATAAGGGAAAGATTAGTCCAAAGGACTAATGGACCACAAATACTACAGCCTCCACCAGACTGAGTCCAGCACAACTAGATGGTGCCTGGGTACCACCACTGACTGCTCTGACAGGGATCACAATAGAGGGTCTTGGACAGAGTTGGAGAAAAATGTAGGACAAAATTCTAACTCACAAAAAAAGACCAGACTTACTGGCCTGACAGAGACTGGAGAGACCCTGAGAGTATGGCCACCGGACACCCTTTTAGCTCAGTAATGAAGTCACTCCTGAGGTTCACCTTTCAGCCAAAGATTAGACAGCCCCATAAAACAAAATGAGACTAAAGGGGCAAACCAGCCCAGGGGCAAGGACTAGAAGGCAGGAGGGGACAGGAAAGCTGGTAATAG